AAGGGGGTGAACTTCATTCCACATGCAAAGAACTCAAATACTCAGTTTTTATGCTAGTGGATCAAATTTCCTCCTGTGTACAATGAACATTGGCAGACCTTGATAACTGCAGAAGAAGCAAACTATATTATAAAAGCAAAAAGTTCATGTGATGCACAACTCTGCAGTCACTGGTAACAGCAGCAGAAAACATCTTGGAAGCGAGCAGCCAGTGCTTTCACCAAGGGGACTGCAGTCTACACAGAAGCAGTATACACTGCCTTTGTCTGCAGTTGCAGCTGATGTCCCTCTCAATCTCCTGCTGACTTGGAGAGAAGGTAATGGTCTTGGATAGTAGCCATTTTGGAAAAGGAGAAGAACTGGGGATCAAAAGCCAAAGCAGAGCTCATAAGTATCTGGCATGAATCTCTGCTGGATCTCCCTGCTAGATCTAATCATGTCAAGACGGGGATGGAAAAAGAACAAAATTCTGGCCCTTCAAAAGAATTTCAGAATGGTGTTTGGAGCATTGGTCGACTCATTTTGTAATAAGCATATGCATAAAACTATGTATTTGGGGGTTAGCAAAAAAGGATGTTAAAATAGAGATTTTAATAAATCAAATTTTCATCATTAGCTCATACATAAATTGCTCATACAAAGTGTGTTCATGCATTTGTGTAAGCAAACACGAACCTGCATGACAAAGGGATCTCTTGCTTGTAATTATTGCTTCCAGGAGAACAAATACAGATTTTGCATGCACAATGAAGAGAGTCCTCCCAAATTAAGCACCATGAAAAATGTGTCAGACCATGAAATCTTGTCTCACCTTGTGAAACTTGGTCTCTTGTGTGCTTCTACTTTACACATTTCATGGGAGCAGATCAGCATTTTTCAAATTGAAGGTCCTGATCCAAAAGAGAGTTACAGGGGGATCACACGGTTATTTTAAAGGGCTTGTGGTATTGCCACCCTTACTTCTGCCCTGCCTTCAGAACTGGATGACTGGAGAGTAGCTGAGCACTCAGCTCCTATGGCCGTGCCATCATGCAGCACCACAGAACTAAGAGAGGCAATACCATACCATGCCATCTTTATTTCTGCGCTGCCGCCTTCAGGGCTCAGCAGTTGGAGTGTGGGCCCAGCTCTGCAGCCAGAATCACAGAAGTAAGGATGACATGCTATGCAATGAGTTTGAGCATAAAATATTAAGATGCAATTAAAACACCTGCATTTGAAATGTTGCTCTTAAGGTTATAAAAAAAATTACAAGTCTTTCGGTCAGTGCTTGCGATCCTGCAGACTCAGAATATGTACAAGATTAGTCTATAGACTAAATATTGCATTTGAAATAAATATTTGTTTTATTTCTACTATATACATTGATTAACATCTTCCTTAGAGCCAGAGAGGAAAATTACAATTCTTGTAATTCTTTTTCTTAGTGTCAGGAAATTCTTCCTAGTAGCAAGATCTGCTACAGTAGAATAGTCTCCCAGGAGAAGTAGAAGCAGCACCATCATTTGAGACATTTAAAACTGGACTGAATATAGTACTAAATAAAATATAGATAAACTAGCTAGAGTTACCCGGTGTTGCTCGGGAAAGTTGATATAACTGAGGTGAGGAGCCTGAGGGGAGGGAGGGGGAAGGGAGCTGTGCGCCTGCCACCGGCACCCAAGCCCACCCTCCACTTCCTTGAACCTCCCCTGGCCTTAGTGAGTGACTGTCCCTGCTGCTTCCCCCGGGAAGCCACTTCTCCCCGCACTGCCAAGCTCCATGCAGCACTGGGGAGAGGCATCAGTCTCTCATCTCTTCCCTCCCACAATATCTTAAAACCTCCTCCTGGAGGAAAAGTTATCCCATGCAAAGTTTGGTTGCAGTAGCTCTTACAGTGTCCAAGTTATTAGCACACAAGCATTCTCCTTTATATATTATAGATAAAGACAACAAATATTGTCCATTGAACAGAATGGACAATATATGATCTAATCAGTCTTTGTCGTCTCTGACTTCTAAGATTCTCTGAGTACTGCATTGATTGCTCTCATTGTACCCTTTAACTCTTACCAAACAGCGACAGTACTTATTCAATTCTGACTTTGCTGCCATATTATTCTTACTGAACATTTAAAGAACTTTCTCTTCTATAATAATTTAGATGTCACTCTTACCTACATTATTTAAAATACACATATCTGTCATTTTAATTAGAGAGACAAGGTGGGCAAATTAGTATAATGTATGGGACCTCACTAACCTTGTCTCCTGTTATCCTGGGACCAACATGGTTACAACATTAATTTTAATTGTCTTTTCTAACTGCAACAGTGAGATTAAACCATATTGTCACAGATGAAGAAAGCAAGTTGATATTTTTGTAAGAAATACATTTTTCTACTTACTAGAAAATCCTTATAAACTTCCCACAACTAAATTAGCCCAGGGTTCCTGGTGCTCTTCCAGATTAGCTTAGAGTATACTGTACATGTTTAAAAGAGCGGGGGAATAGAGGGGAACCACCATCTGAAACTCATTAATCAATTAGAATTTTTAAGGGCTTACATCAAAATGTGATCTAGACTGATAAAGTAAACTCTGATTCGCTAGAAGGTTTTGTCCCTTGTGTTACGAACATACAGGATACAAATGTACACTGTACTAAAATGTGTATCTGGAACCTGGCACAGACCTGTATATTGATATTTTGAACTTATAAGACCCTTGGTTTGAAGCCAGCACCAAATGAACTTTAAAAAAAAGCAAAGTTACTGAAAGTCTAGGCATTTTCAAGACTGTTTTTACCAGAGACAGTGTCGCTGTCTTGCTAAATGTCTGCTTCACCAGAAGGAAAACAGGAATGTCATTTGTCTCTCTCACACATGTAATAACAAAGCTTTAGTAATGTTCAATATTAACTTGGCCATAAAATGATAAGCTCTAGATGACCCTGATTCATAAAGCAGGCAAAAATCCTGATTGTTGACTTGCAGGACTGTTGGATCTAGCCCTTGCTTCTCATTTTTCTACTTGCCTGCTCAAACTGATCTTTACAAAAATCTATATAGAACAGCCAAATTTAAATCTTGGTGTCTATTAGCTAAAGAAATGACAATATGTATTACAGATTCCAGATTTTAATAGGCGTTTGTCTGATGAGTTTATTTTTTAAAATGCCTGCAGATTTGTGCAGAACAATGTAGGCTTCATGTGAATAATCACCAGCTCCTGTGATTTTTGCATGTAATTGGTGTAACCTTCCATCCTTAAATGTTGCTAGGCCTGCTCTTGCTTCCACTGAAATCAATGGCCAAACCTAAATGACTAATATGGGAGCCCCTAATGTTAAGCCTGTTTTCTTTTCTGGTCAAATTATGAGAAGACAGGTGATTTTTTTTTTTTAAAAAAAAGCCCCTAAGCGATTCAGGGGCTTAGGTCCCACTGAAAGTCAATAAGAGCTGGGTGTCTGGAAGCAATGCTCGTTCCCCACTGCCTCACCTCCTTCATCACTGTTTGGCTGCGGTTCCAACCTGGGACCCACAGTGTAATTCTCATCAGATGGCCTATTGTGCCATATGAAATGAATTTAGGAATGTCAGATAATTTCCTATTAAATCACCATCCACATCACAAACCCATTACACTTGGCACAGCCTCGGCCCGGCAGCGAAGAAACGATCCAAGCTTGACTGGGCTGTGCAGACTGAAAAAAAAGCCCCCCCCCCCCCTCATCCCTTC